TTTCTGTATTTAGCTCTGTGGGTGCTGAAAGCACAGATTTGGTGATCAAACCTAAAATAGGATTTGTATGAAGTCATAAAGGAGACCTTCCATGACTTAGAGAAAACATATACACGCAGATCTCACGGCATAGCTAAGAAAGATGTGAGTGTCTATGATTCAGCCCAATGGCCTGGGTCTGGCAGCCACCCACAAAAACAGGGTTCTTCATCAGCATTGTAATAGGAATACGTACTAGAGTTGGTTCTGATAATGCAATCCAAGCTTACTTGAAAAAATCCCTTTTATGTAGTGAGTGCTGCCTTCTGTCTGCCCATAACTTCCACCAACTTCCTGGATTCCCAGCGTGCTTTGCGTCTCTTTCCCTGCTGCTTGATGTGATGCTATTTCGATTTCTCAAGACTGCATGTTTGTCCCATCATGCATTGCTTCCAGCAAGCAATGATACTGTTAAATTGTTCTGACAATGAGTTGTGGTTCAGAAGGCAGGCTCTGACACCTAGTGGTGATGCCAGGAAGTGCATATTCACAGGGCTGAGTGAAATTGGTGTCAGTGCATTGAGGAAGTCCATCCTATAGGCATCTTCAATAAGTAAGTTTACAAACTTCTAGAGGGATATGGTTATTAGGAGTGGGAGAGAACTTGTGGAAATTAAATTTATTTAAGCCTGGGCTTGTGTTTCAAAGCTAGAAATGGGTAGTGAGTGGGTAGCCAAAGTCTGGCTGAAAAGCTGTCTATGGATGACACCCACTGACTAGCAGGGAACTGCTTAAACCGTCATAAAGGGGGATTGTTGAGTGTGAAATTAGTTGGATATCTCTTGTCATCTTTCTGAACATTTGGGAATCAATAAAGTACTGTTCTGGACTCTTAAAGCATGGTTTTGCCCCCCACCCCCCTCCCCCCCAAGTGCTTGACTACCTGCACACCTGCACAGATCCCTATAGTTTCCATCAGTGTTACATGTGTTGACACAGAATTACAAATGTGCTTTCTCCATGACAGGAAGAATTTTCATTGCGGATCACGAGGCATTCTTTTTTTTTGAATGAGAAAAAACATTCAATTCTCCATCCAAGCTAAACCGCCAGGCTGTGAGAATACCCGAACAGTGAATATATCTGATTGGATGCAGGCTCTGATCATCCAGTAAATTTCCACCTTGGTGCTTCGTTCAATCGAAGTTTGTTGAGCCAGGTGGTGGTGCCAGGACCACGCACAGCTTAAATTCTGGCCGATTCCTGCCATGTATGGCCACCTTTAGTCATGTATATAATAGGGGTGCACCAATCCTGATACTAGTATAGGTATCATTGCCCATACCGAGCATTTGGGCAAGTATCGTACTAACCCAAATGCCCCCCGATACTTATCCCGATACTGGAAATGGATTTGTTAAACACGAGCCCAGCTTCCTGATTGGCCGGGAAGCCGCCTCCATGCTCCCTTGTCACCAGGACAGCGTATAATGACTCACCACCCGTCTTTCTGATTGGTCTGGAAGCTGGCCAATCAGGAATCCGGTTGGCAAGTCATCACCTGTCCCCGGCTTCATGATTGGCCAGAAAGCCGCTCCATGCTACCCTGTCACCTGGTGGCTAATCAGAAAGCCGGTGGTGAGTCATTACACGCCGCCCGGCTTCCGCTGGTAATCAGGAAGCCGGGCTGAGAGTTAATGGGACCTCCGGTATCGGTATTCAGTATCGGTGAGTACCGAAAAAAGTATTGATACTCGTACTCGATACCGAAAAACTGCTATGGTGCATCCCAGGTACATATTGGTAAAACTGGTCAGTGAACAAACTACTGAACTCAGAGGACTGATACAATGTAAACCTAATCTTATGAATTGATAGGATATTGACCTTCAATAGGCAAACCCTCAAGATCAGTAAGTCTAATTGGTTTATGTCGAAGTGAGTGGTGCTGCCAGGGCCACGCACATCTTGAATTCTGGCTGATTCCTGCAGTGTATGGCACCTTTAGTCTTGTATATAGAATAATAGATCTGGCAGGAGTTAAACTACAGAACTCAGAGAACCGATAAAATGGAAACCTGATTTTGTGAATTTATAGGATATTGACCTTCACTAGACAACCCTCTAGAATAGATCAATACATCTAATGAGCTTTTGTAAACAGAATAGTATTGTCAGGGCCACACACACAGCTCAAATGTCGGCCAATTCTCGTGGTGTATGTCTACTTTTAGTCTGGTATTAAGGTTAATAAAACTGGTCAGTGATTGAAAAACAGAACTCAGAGGACCGATATAATGGAAGCCTGATATTATTAATTTACAGGATATTGACCTTTAATTGGCAAGCCTCAAGATCAATAAGTCTAATTGGCTTTTGTCAGATGGAGTGGTGCCAACAAAAAATGTACAAGCGTAAGGATTTGAGTGACAAGGGCCAAATTGTGGTGACTAGACGACTGGGACAGAGCAACTCCAAAACTGCAGCTCTTGTGGGATGTTCCCGGTCTGCAGTGGTCAGGACTTACCAAGAGTGGTCCAAAGTAGGAACACCAGTGAACCGGCAACAGGGCCATGGGCGGCCAAGGCTCATTGATGCACGCGGTAAGTGAAGAAGGACCCACCCTACAACTTACAGGACTTCAAGGATCTGCTGCTGAAGGCTTGGTGCTAGATACCACAGCCTACTTTCAGAAGTCTAGTGGAGTCCATGCCTAGATGGGTCAGGGCTGTTTTGGTGGCAAAAGGGGGAGCTACTCAATATTAGACAGGTGGTCATAATGTTATGGCTGAACAGGATATATATATATATATATAT